ACCTCCTCTTCAGTTTCTTAAACTTAAACTCTTGAAACTCTTTCGAACGAAAAATAAAATAGATCGTCCTCCGCAAAGGAAGAAGAAAAAGAGGAAAAAAAAAAGACGAAGAAAAATCTACATAAATCTCGTTCCTCCACCATCCTCTTCCACCCATAAAAATTCCAACGTTCGTGGTGTCAACGTTCCTCGTTAACTCGATTGAAGAGAGCGTGGACCGCGAGAGGCTGCTGTCTCGTCCACACGGGAAAGAAGTTCGTTTAAGGACGCGGTCGAACCGTGGACTGGTTGTTCCCACTTGACCGTGAGCACGTCACCAGGCGAAGCGATGAAAGTTAAGTGGCGCGGTGTAAGGTCGTTACCACTTTCGTTACCGTACGCGTCGTTCTCTGCGTTCAGTAGACGATCATCACTCGTTGGCGTCGCATCGTTCCCTCCGACACCTGTTCCTCGAAAAAGCACCGATCGACATGGGAGTCGGATGGCTGTTTCCGTGTCTGTTGATCGTTCTCGGCCATGGGGCGGACTCGTTGAACCCGGAAGTTGGCCCCTGGGTCCGACCCACTCACGGCGAGCCCTGGCCAATGCCCAACCACCGCCACGTGACCGATAAGTTCTATCTTCTACGAGCCTCGACCTTTCAGTTGAACGTGAGTAATTGAAGAATGGCAGTCTTGGGAAGACTCGCGCGCATGTGCGTGTGTATAATTGACGTTTCGCGTCGAGCGTATCGATGCCTTCTTGCCAAGCTTCCTCGATCTATTAAACGTTCTTTAAATAATAAAAGAATCAGAGAGTTATGCGATGCCGGTTAATCATGAAACTTGACTTTTTTTCTTTCATCGACGATGATTCAAGTCTAGTGATTAGAATTAGCGTTTCTCCAAGTCATTATTATTAGAATAAACAAATTCTCCGAGTATGTTTTATGTTAGCGTATGTTTTATGTTTTCTTCACCCAAGTTTCCTCAAACGAGCGTGGGGATCACCCGAGATAATACATACTCGATTCC